AGACTCTTCTTATGTAAGGTGGGCACGTCTAAAACAAATGGGGTGTAACCATAAGTGATAAAACATAGCTTCAGTGTTATTCTCAAAACCTGGACAAACAGAGCATCAAGACCCCAAGTTGCCATATTTGCCCCCTCTCTCCCTCTTTTCTTTCTTCCTTTATGCCTTCCTTTACCTGGTATGGAGAAGGAACAAGGTCAATGACTCCAAGACCCTTTCAAGGCTAGATAAACATAAGGTGTGGATAAGGGTCCTCTCTGTGAGGAGAGAAACTGCCCTCCTGGAAAGAATCAAGTAACACAAGATGAGAGGTGGGCAGGGGCTCCTGCCCTGTTTAACTACTTGTGTTAGTGAGACTTCTGTAGAGAAACAGAATGGATGGAAAGAATGTACACTGCAGATGGGGATTTATTAGAGCATTTACACAATATGGGCTAGAAACTCTGCAGCTCACATGAGAGCCTCACCTGCTGCCACTACTATGTCAGGCCTGTTGACCTTAGTTCCAAGCAGATTTTGACAGCTCTGGAGCTCAGGTCACCACCTTCCATCTGTGGTCTAGAGGCAGAGCCCAGGCAGGGTTTCCACAGGGAGACACTGGTCAAGTCTCTAGGGCACACTTGTCTGCCACAGTCTGACAGTGAACCCTCTGTGATTCATAAACTTAGATTTTAGTTTTGGTTCCTCTTGACTGTGAACAGAGATAGGCCTTTCTGCACAAGAATTTGAAGGGAAACATTTCCCACGGTTGCCCTGCAGGCTCATGTGCTGACATTGGTGCCACTGTAGATCTTATAGTGGCCCTGGACATGGGCTCCGTTCCTCTCAGCTACAGACCAGAGCAGTGTGGGCCACCCAGGCATCCTCCCAGTATCTCTGCAGTGTCAATTAGGGCCCCAGGGGAAGCCATACCATTCTATGAACCTTGTGCCAGGCATGCAGTACATGAAATTCCCAACCCCAGCCTCATAGAATTCAGTCCTTGGCAGTCCATTCTACCTGGGATAACGTAGAAAGCACACCCCTTAGAACTCCAATTGGTGTTCACTAACTGTTGTTTCCCCTGCAGACACAGCTTCAACAGCTGACTCAACTATGCAGAAGACAGAAGCAGTGAACTCAAAGGCAGGTCATTTGAAATAAGACAATCAGGAAAGAGGAAGAAAATAAAAAAGAGTAAATACATCATAATGGACCAATGGGATACCTTCAAATACATGTGTTATGGAGTTCTAGATGGAGCGGAAAGAGACAAAAGACAGAGAGCACTGTCTAAAAACATCCTGAAACTTGGGAGAAAAATAGCTATCCAGTTTCAGAAGCTCAAAATACTCTGAACAATTCAAACCAGAATAGCCAATTATATTAATTCAATTGTCAAAAGCCAAAGACCAAGAGAGAATCTTGAAGCATCAAAAGGGAAGAAAAGTATTGTATATAAGGGAACAATCCTCACACTCTCTGTCAAATTCTTAACAGAAGCTATGCAGGTCAGGAAGGAGTTGGGACACTGAATTACAGCGTTAGAGGGGAGGAGCTGCCAGCAAGAGTACAGTGCCTAGCAAAGCCATCTTTAGACTAAAAGACTGAAGGAGCTTATCACTGTGATTAACATAGAAATGCTGAAGAGAGTTCCTTCATCTCTTATGAAAAAAAGCTAAGTAATTGCCAGAAAAGCATATGAATATAAAAACTCACAGCATTCCCCCAGTATCGGTGGCACCTTCCAATGGATGGCCCTAATAAAAAAAAAAAGCCAGAGGGAAAAGGAACAGATGTTCGCTTCCTCTTTCTGCATAAGTGTGTTTATCACTGTTACTGGACACGCTCCGCTGACATCAGACTCTACCTTTATTAGCCTTTTTATTATTAGTAGTATTTTTATTTTATGCGTATGGGTATATTGCCTGCATGTAAGTGCACCCGTGTCCTGCAATGCCCGCGGAAGACAGAAGAGGCTGTCAGATCCCCTGGAACTGGAGTTACGGACAGTTGTTAGCTGCCGTGTAGGTGCTGGGTTTCGAACCCGGGTCTTCTGCAAGAACAACCAGTGTTCTTAACTGCTGAGCCATCTCTCTAGCACCAGCCTTTTGATATAAACACAGTACCAGTTACTCTTCAGGGAACTCAGGGTTTTAATGCTGGATGGGACTGCTAAAGCATCCAGCTTCATGGACTGAGCAGCTACCAGACTGTATGTCTCTTCAGTCTAGAGATGGACATAGTTGGAATACCCAGCACCCAATGTATAAGCCAACTTAAAAAATCCCCTTTATAACACACACACACACACACACACACACACACACACACACAACTTTTGTTCTCCTAGAGAAGCCTTCCCAACACAGGAAAGAACAATAGAGACAGAAGAAATAAATAAGGAAAGGAGGCAACAGGAAAAAAAACCCATCAAAGTTAGTTTTTCAAAATGATAAAAAAAATGGATCAAAGTTAGGCATATTAAAAGAAAAAGAGAGAAGACTCAAATAAATAAAATCATAAATGAAAAGGAAACATTGTACATGATCTACAGGAACACAAGTGATCATGGGAGACACCTGTGAACAATTCTATACCAAGTAGTTGGATAATAGAGAAGAAATGGTAAGTTTCTAGAACCATATGAAGGATTAAAACTGAATCGTGGAGAAACAGACAATGCTAGCAGCTAATAAGGGGATTGAATCATCAGTGAAGATTCTCATTAAAGAAAACCCGAGGCCCTGGTAACAGTGCTGTTGAGTTTTATAGAACATTGAGAAGAAAGATAAAAACAAACTAACTTTAACTCCAATGCTTTTCAAACTCTTCCAAAGAACTGAAAAGGATAGGACACATCTAAAGTCATTTTACAAGACCATGACTTTGTTTTTTCTGGCTCTAAAGCCAGACACATGACAAGAAAAGAATATGATGGGCAAGCATTATGGGGAATGCACGAATATTAGCAAAACAAATCCAACAGCACAGTGAAAGGATCATTCACTTAAAATTTGTCCTTAAGAAGCAAGGATGGTTAAGGACACATAAGAACTATGACACACCATGTTAAGAGAAAGAAAGATAAAATTTGCATGATCATTTCAATGGACTGAGGAAAAAAACTTGACAAAATTCAACATCATCTCGTGATAAGAAAAAATTCTCAACAAATTAGGCATGAGCATCCCTTAGCGTAATCAAGGCATAAAAAAATACCCCATGGAAAATATCATACTCAGTGATAAAAAGTTGAATATTTTCTCTAAAAATGGGAATGCAACAAGTGTATGTGGGCTTTCACTGCCTCTATTCAGCACAGTGAGGGAAGTGCTGGACTGAGCCACTGGGCGAGGAAAAGTGAAACGTAGGCCTATGAATAGGAAAGGAAGAAATGGAATTGTTGTCAGCTGATCACATGACCTTACACACAGAAAATGCCACAAAGACTTCATACGCATATAGATACACATTCAACCTTTTCAAACTGACATGTGAACTCAGTACAGTATTTTGAAAGATACAAAATAACAAACATTAGACAGCAGTGTTTCTGAACACTAGCTACATAAAAAGAAATTAAGAAAGCAACCCCATTTGTAATAGCACAATTTTTTTTTTTTAAAGGAGTAAATTTAACCAAGGGAGTTCAAGATCCATAGACAGAAACCTAGAAAACATTGATGAAAGGAATTGAAGATGGCCAAATAGATGTAGCCACATTGGGCGCTTTTGGATTAGGAAAATTAATATTATTGAATGGTGATACTATACAAAAAGTGTAAATATTTCATCTTAAATTTTGATGTCACTTTTTCACAGAAACAAAAAAATTCTATAATTCTGAACCTTAAAAATCCCTCAAATAGACAAGATTTATTTTTAATTTTTAATTATGTGTGTCTATGTGAGGGTATATCCAGGTGAGTGCACTTGCCTGTGGAGACCAGAAAAGAAGCTAGAGTAACAGGTAAGCTGCCTGATATGGGTGCTAGAAGCTGAACTTGGGTCCTCTGGAAGAGCAGTAAGCCTCCTAATCACTGAGCCATCTCTCTGGTTCTGACAAAAGAATATTGAGTACATTACCCTGCTTTATCATCAGACATTATATATATTGAAATATTACATTATATATTGAATATATTGCCCCACAAATATATAGAATTATTACATATAAATAAAATGAAACCTGTAAACCTGTACATGTTCAAACCTCTGACTACACAGTTCAACACTACACTCACACCACATATCACACACCCCAATACACACACATGCATATTTCACGACAGACAAGGCTCAATTTACAAACAACAAGATGGTTATGCCAGTCCTTTGCTGACTGAAGCTGGTGGGCAGATCGCTGTTCCCTACCTATAGATCTGACTTGTCTCAAGACTGAAACATCTCTGGTCTCTCACTCTTCTGAGCTACCTATGGGGGTGGGATTAAGCAGTCTGCTTGTCTTACACAGTTTACCCAGAAGAAGGGTACAAGAGACTTCATGGATGCATCTCGAAACTACTTAATTAACAGAGTTCCCAAACTAGCAGCATTTATTCAGCACAGGAGCTGGCCTCTCTTATTTTATTAATGAAGAAAATGAAGCCCAAAGAGTTTAAAGAGATTTTCTATATTAATTTGTAATTTGAACAAACATCTAGTCTTTTTATTGAATCTAATTCTGTTGATACTTAAAGCTGAAAATGAGATTTCTTTTCCTCAGGACTATTTTGTGACAGCCCTTGCTAGGAGAGAGAATGGTTACTAATCAAAAAAGAATCAGGCACTCGGACTGTTTCTATAACCCTTTACTTTTGGCCTTCAAGTCTTTCTCAACTACTACCCTGCAGAGCTAGTGCCTGTGCTTGCACACAGTGTTGTCAGATATTGAAACAGTTGATGAACTGTTGAATTAGCACAATGTTGGGCTCACCAGATTTTCCCACTGGACTCACTGGTGTTTCCCAAAGTGACAAGTTCACCAGTTTTCCCCACTTCCAACAATGGTCACATACCTGAGCTTTTCTGTTCCACCTTTGTACCTTGAGATCCGAGCCAGGGACAAAGGAACCGACAAGGTGTCTATCCAACACTTCTCATACTTTGGTTCATTAGCTGTGGGTGAGGAAGGTGATGATGGGGCCTGTGCGAAATAAAAAGAGTCAGTAATCACAGAACCAGTCAGAGCACTGCACTCTGAAAAGGCTCATAGAAAGCTGAGGCAACCGTCCCACAAAACTTAGATTAACCTAGTTCAGTTGATGAAAACATGTGAGATAAAGTCTAAGAGATCCAGAAGGAAAGCAGCACATTCACAGCTGAATACAAAAGCTTAAAAATGTATTCTAGCAATATGTTTTATGAGGGGAGGAAAGCTACAAAAGAGACGGGGGCCAAGAAAACTGCATTTGGAGAACTTCACAGCCATGACACAGGACTACATCTGTGGAGACCAAGGGAGGACAGGGGCCAAACCACCTGGAAGTGCCCACATAAAAAGTATTTGGGTCCAGGACACACTACATAATAGCAATGTTAATAGCATTATATAGAGTCCAAGCCCAGGATCTGTTATTGGCCAGTAGCAACAACCTTGCTATCTGGGTGTCTAGTGGACTTAGCAAAGAAGTAGTCACTCCTCAGGGGCTGAGGTGAGAGAAGAGCCCTTGCAAATATTCCTAGGTGGACTACCTCACCTGGTCCAACTAACACTGGGTCAGAAATTGGGTCCTAGGCCGAAGGAAGTTCTGATGGTACTGTTCTAGTTTCTGAAAAAGCTGTGAGCTTAATGGGCTGTCTTTACCCTAGATTCCCTGCTTAATATAGTTAGGCAGGTATAGACCCTGAAGCCAGGACATGGATGTCTCATACTGATGGTCCACAAGTTGTCTCCAGCCTTAGTATGGGACTCTCATATGAACGGAACTCACCAAGCTCTAGGCATGGGCACCATGCAAGGATGTGACTCTCCCATTGAAGTATAGACACCCCAGAATGATGTGACACCCCGAGTCTGAGTCAAGAAGCCTTATATAAATGCACTCTTCAGTCTTGGCATGAGACTTTCATGTGAAAAAACTTGGCCAGCTGTGGGTATGGACACCCCACAAGGATGTTGACTCTCCAACCTTAGTATGGGACTCATATAGACAGAGTTCACCTAGCTCTGATCATGGATATCCCACATGGATGTGACTCCCAGCCCCAGGCATGGAGATTGGGTGCCCTGCATCTCTGGGTAGACATCTAGTGCACATTCACACAGGATATCAAGCCACTCGGCAGGTTTGCCTCTGAACTCGGGGAAAGGCTCTCACAGTCTATCTATTTATTAGTGGATGTGCCCCTCCGCTGCTCAGTGGGACCTGAGAGACTAGAACATGAATCTTTCTTAACTGAAAGATGTAGAACCAGAAAGGGAAGGAGGTCAAGAATGAACTTATAGATGTCGGAGGCCCAGCACCATAGGTAAAAATGAAATTGCTTTTAATTCCCAGATTCTGCTAACAGCGATGAATCACAATTGAGAGATGGATTTCTAGGGCAGTGTCAGGCATGGTGGGCATTTCTTTGTTATACATTCAGAAAGATGTGGGAGTTGTGCCTCTTTTAGCTCTGAGGATATAAGACCCTCAAAGGGGAGACTACAGCTCCTCCTATTTAATTGTCAGGTTTCAGAGGCTCTCAAGGTCTCTGACAGGTCCACTTGAAGGGAGCTGTGATGGAACTTTAATGAAATAGGTAAAAGATGAACCATAAAATGCGCTTGTGATAAAATTTTAGAAAGAATTATGACATCTGCTACAAAGAGAATAAGCAAAATGATCAAGCCTTTGAGTCCAAGTAGAGAGGGTAGGAAGCCAGATGGGCCACTTAGCTGAAAGTGAAGGGTGCTTCTGGTGAGAAAGGAGGATGCCCAGGGCCAGAGCTGAGGTCCACAAAGTAGGACTCATGGAGTGGGCATGCGCCCTAATCCAGGGCCTGCCCATAGGTGCCTGCCAAATTCAGAGTTACTGTGGAGTGGGGACAACTCTGTCTTCTCATCATCTCCTTCCTTGGTGGGAATGGAGTAGTCTACTGTGTTCAACCTGGCCCACATCCTGTGCCATGTGAGAGACAGGTGGTTTTTATCACTGGTCTCAAGTGTTCAGGTGAAGATCTGCCTTGAGAGTTACACTGGAAACCTGATCCAGGAGCCTAGCCACGTAGATCTGGCTTGCTGAGTTCATTTGGCCCAATTGTCTTGGTCTGAAGCTGAAAATATGTGTCCTTGAAGATGTGTTGAGTAGACAAGTGCTCTGCTGATAAGAGAGCAGGCTGTGAAGTTGCTGAACAGTCTCATTCTCCTGGGTTAAGCACACAGATGTGTGGGTCTCCCAAGTAAGCCATGGATCTGAGCTGTGGTGAGCCTCATGGCAAACCCTGAGATGGTACCAGCTTCATTGGATGCTCACCCTTGGACACTGCTGCCAGACAGCAGTGTGGAGAAACTAAAGCAGAAATCAAAAAGTATCAGACAGGGTGGCTGGAATGTAATATGTATGAAGGAACAACTGGGTTTGTCACCTTGCACTGCATCCGAAAGTGTCACACTCCAGAGACCGTTCTGCAAGGCTTCCTTTCTGCATTCTCAAACAGCTACTGTGCTTTGATAATTATTTTGAAAATAGAAAATGGGTTTTATAGGCGGCAATAAGAATGTGCTCAAGAAAACAGTAACTGTTGGAAATCTGCCTTTTTTTTTTTTTAGCACATGAGAATTAACTAAAATATTTTAGACTTTCTTCTCACTCCCAAGACTCCAATACACATTGCAAACTACATTGATGGTCACAATTCTTTAGGCTAAATTCCTACAGGTCTCATGACTAACTGTAGCAGGCTGAAGCAGTCACTAAGTATCAAAGGGGATTTGGTCCTGGTATCCTGAGGCTGAACACACCTTCTGTTGGCAAAGGTCTTCATCATGAGACTGACCCTTCTATTAGCAATGGGGAGATCTTTGTCTAACAGGGAGAGTGAACCCAGACAGAAAACTATATCAGATGTGATGGAATGAGGTGTCCTGAGATATTCTGCCACAGGAATGAGAAAGGTAATGAATATAGTGCCTAAGGCGTCACCTCTCTGGATCCTCAGCTAGATGATGGGAGGAAAGTTCACTGCACTCTAATCCTAGTGTGGGGGAACTTCACAGTCATCCAGCTTGACCTCTAGCATCCTTGTTTGTCCTCGACCCTTGGCACTCTTCCCTCAGCATGCCCTGAGTAGCTGTTTCCTTGTATTTGTGTCTGAGGATTCAGCTAGAGACTGGGGAAGACGCACACAGACTTTTCCTCTTTCCTTGCCTCTAGCAGGTCACTTCTGTTTTCTCCCACAGAGTCCAGCTAAGTTAGAAGTCTGCACTGCCCCTTGCCTTCTTAAGGCAGCAGAATGGCATGTTATCTTTCTTTTCCACTGTCCCTGGACAGACATCTAGACTCTTGCGACCTGCCTCGTCACAGATGGTAGTCTTCAACCACCTGTTTCTTGCAAACAAGTGCCTTGCTTTATTCAGTTTAGTACTTTTTAAACTACTGCCACTTATCATCTGGAATCTTCTCACCTCAGAACCATGCTATTCCTGTGCTATACAGGAAGTCTGTGGCTCTCTATTTAGTCAGATTTCCATGTCTGACAAAATGTAGCATATCAACTTGAAAACCTCACTGTGCATATAAATCACATGGAAATTTCTAAAAGACAAGTCCTGAGGTCACTTTCATTAAAATTCAGTTTACAGGGGCTGGAGAGGTGGCTCAGCAGTTAAGAACACTGGCTGTTCTTGCAGAAGACCCAGGTTCAAATCCCAGCACACACGGCAGCTAACAACTGTCCGTAACTCCAGTTCCAGGGGATCCGACGGCCTTTTCTGTTCTCCACAGGCATTGCACAACATGGGTGCACTTACCTACATGCAGGCAATACACTCACACACATAAAATAAAACAAAAAAATATTTTAAAAATTCAGTTTACAGATACTGAATGTGACCCTGGATTCTCCTTTAGTGTCCTGGTTACCTTGACACTGCAGTTTAGTCCAGCACTGTAGAGTGCTGCCTTAGTGAAGCTGTCATTCAAAGTGGAATCCTCTGTTCTTCTATACCTTGCTCTGCTATAAGAAATTTGCCTCCAACGTCCCATATCTGTGGGCTGCTTGGGAGTCCTTCCACGTAGAGCATCAACATAATTTTAGAAACAAACCGTTAACTCCAGTTTTCCAATCAGTACAATAAAATGCAATCCCTAATTAACATTTATTATGACTGGCTGCCATATCCAGGTGTTGGTAAAATACTCAGTGCTCACAGGTTAAACTTCAGTTTCTTTTCATGATGTTTATTTCCATTGACTCAATTTACAAAGCATGAAAATGGACAAGTGCTTGGGGGACTTGCTAAAGCTATGGGTCATGGATATGCGGACGTAATACGTAATGAAAGATTACTAAGAAGGTGTGTATGCAAAGTTTCAGTTCTCTACACCATAAACAAAAGGTCCCAGTCCAGCTTTTGCTTATGTAGCTCTTTAGTATAAAGCTCCTTACAGTGCCCTGCCAGATCTCGATATGATACTGTTCATAGGTAACCCTGGTATGATTCCAGGTTTTCTTCTTTTATTAAATTGTTGAAAAATTCATAAAATATATTTTGACCATACTTAGACCCCCTTCCCTACCTACTAGTTTTTAAAGAATATTCTGATCAATAAATAATCACTAAACCTAGTGCAAATATCTGTCTCTGGCTGCACTACTGAAAATAATTATGACTGCTCAGACAAAATGCACCTGTGGGTCTCAGCTTGTAGTTTCCACCCTCATAAATCCTGCTGGGACTGTGGGCCTGCAGTAATGGGATTTCAGCAAACAGAACTGAACAAACATAATGAAAAGAGAAATATTTGACCAGAGCGGAGAATAATCAATGACCCCAGAAAAGCCTTAGCTGACAGGGAAAGTTGTAAAACAACACCTATGTGCTCAGTTCCTACATGGGCTCAGCTGATTTGGTTCTTAGAGGGACCATCATCTCTAAGTACCTGAGAAGTATTAGCAACAGCTTTCAGTGAGAAGTCCCAACTACTCCTATACCTTACATCT